CACCGTGTGCGCAGCATCAGTGACTGGCCTGCGAACTTGTTTAAGGCGGAAACGACTTACGTAAACATCTACTGTACTCGCTCGTACCTCACACGCCTTGCTTCGAATAGAAAACCATGACAAACGGACCGGAGTTAGGCCTGAGCAACAGGGTTAAACAGCACATTTTTGCGCGCTACACACGTTCTGATTCCCACTTAGCGTACCATACTATTGTATTAGGGGTTCGCGTTCCACACAGATGAGAATGCCACCATTGCTTCACTGAAAGGGAGCCGTCGCAGCCTTCCAAACCACTAAATTTAGTGTCAGATTTAGTATTCGACAGTGCGACTGTTGTGACCGACGATGTCCATCGTACGCTTCACAGCAGGCTGAGAGCGACAACATTGATTTGCTGCATCTGCCGCACTCTCTCATGACGTACCACCACACTCCCTGGTCCACACTGACCAGAATTTTACATAAAAAGAGGAAAGAGGGCAACTGGGATCCCACTGAGTGGGAGTGCCGTGTAGGCCACATTAAGAGGGAGCCATTTCAGCCTGACTCTCAGTCTACCAGAGGGGAACTCCACACAAACACACATACATTGGGCTGACTACGAGGTCTGAGTTTAAGCGTCATTTGGTAACCATCCAAGCCACGACTTTTAACGCGCCGTGATGGTCTCAAGCGCGTCAGTCTGTTAATGGTGGGGAATTCTGCGCTGAGACCGTCGACCTCGCTCTCTCTACCCTATCCCGTGCACCGTGCCAGTCAACCAACTGATTCTAAGATTGGGAGAGCTAAGAACAGCTCATCTGCGCGTGCCACACACACCACCTGGCCCCCATGCGCGCACACCAGGATTTCACATACAAGGGGTAAACCAGTCATATCTCACCTGCAGCAGAAGAGCTGCTTGGAGAAGGGTGCTGTAGGGCGATGGATTTGTAGATGACCGAACAGACCGATGAGTGAGGTGAATGTACGATCACAATGGAGACAGGCTGGGACCGAGTCCACACCGCTGGAGGTGGGTGTGATGATGGTGAGGGTGATGGTTGGCAGGCCCTCAGAAGGTTTTTGACAGCTGGCAGAAGTGGTCGAGGTGGTTGTTGTCATCGCCGCGGAGTTTGTTGTAGGAATGATAGAAATGACGATGGTTGACGGTGGCTGGGGACGAGAATTCTGAGCATCGGTAGTGGGGATGGGCGCCGTGGGGGGTTGGAGCAGGAGCGGTCGTGGGTTGTTGGGTTGGTGGTGCACTGAGTTCGGTGATGTCCGACGAGGCCGACCGCACGCGGAATGTTGGTCGACAGTGTGGACATGTTGGAAGGGGTTGGATGGTGCCGTTGCGGGCCAGGGGAGCCTGGGACTTGCGAGCCCTATTATTGTAATGAGGTACGTGCAAACTCGCCATGAGGATGGACTCCTCCGTGCTGGATGGTCAGGCCTTTCAACCGACTAGTAATGGGATTGGATGCAATGGCCGCCGAAAATAAACGGACCGTCCACTCGTACAACAAACACAAACACCTGTTACCCAGTTCTTGTGCCAGGATACATCAGAGGGATATTTCTCAAGTAAGCTAGATGTGCATTTTTTAAATATGCAACATTTTGCCGCCATGTCGGTGATGGCAGGGTGGATCGCATGCTTGTCGCGGGAGGGACGTTTGGTGTGCTACGGATAAATGTCGTGTATCCGAACACTGTGGAGTAGGTATGCTTGTAGCGGAGGTTGGCGTGTGTGCAGGTAGGGCGAGGTGTTTCGATGGAGTCTGTATTGGGGTTTTTTAGTGACGATTTCGTGAGTGCGTACATATTTATATGGGTATACGCGCTTATCAAATGTCTGGGACAGTATGGGTAGATGAGCGAGAGTGGTGGGTGTATCATGGGGCACCTGGAATTGGTTCGTAGGTTCCAGCGCGATGGATGTGCCATGCGAACCTGTGGTCGCAATTGGAACAGGTCGGATTTGAATCCGTAGTGCTGTTGGTGGTACTGGTGATAGGGATAATGAGGGGTTAGATGGATGGGTTTGTTTCTGTGGCAACAGTGCTCTGTGTCGAGGTGACGAGTCGTGCCGGTTGTCGTAGTGACAAATGCAATGATGGCTGACAATTCCACTGCGTGTCCCGAACGTCCGTCGACAATGCAGGAACGTTGGCAGGTATTTGCAAAAGCTGATTGACACTGACCTGGGGAGCCGCAAATGAGATCTGGGTGTCAGTTAAAGGCCGCACGGTGCAAGCACCGCAGGCGCCAGGCGTATGGAACAACCCGTTGCTGCTTCATCATGTATCCCCTTACTGAACACACCCTTCATCCAGTCCCAGACACGCAGACGCAATATCGTCCTTCGGCTGACAAGACAGTAGGACAATGGATCTGCAAGGTTGATTTCCCTGCCCAAAAATTTACAGTGTCGAGGGCCTCACAATATTGGCGAATCCTAGGAAGTGGTTGGCTTATGCGGTTGTCGATTGCTATGACGTATCTTTGCCCGTGTGTTCGCAGGCGGTGCATGTTTAAAACTGTTGATTCAAGCCTTTGGCAAGGGACGCCTAACACGTGTGGTTCGGGGGCTTTAATCTCCGTCAGTCACTCTGTCCAGAACCACTTGCGGTAAGCTAGACATGAGCTTGTCAATGATAAGCGGTCTTAGGGAAAAAAAGAGCGGCAGATCCAACGAGGATCACATGCATATTTTTCCAACTGCTAAAAGTCTGAAATGCCTCGTCACTGCCATCACGCGCCAAAAGTGGCACCTTAAAATGTAACCAACTGACGGGATAGCGCGCCCCCACCGAACTGACTGACAGTTGGAAGTGAAGTCTTCCCAGTGTGGTCCTTTGGGGAGCCGTCACGCTTATGCAGCCCTGTGAGACCATAACTACTGCCGTAAATGTAAGGAGTGTGGCTACATGCCTAGGCGTAGGTTTTCATGCCGCGTCGGCCACTGAATGCAGTCTCATCACCAGTTGACTTACAGGCTTGGACACTGGGAAATTCAGCCTCTCACTCCATCAGCGCGTTCCCCGCTGTAATAAATCTGACCAGGTAAGGGTTGTGGCTTGGAATGCTGCCAACTGACCGGACAATTCGGTCCTTCTTAGGACTACGAGTCAGGTTAGACGGCTCCTTCCTAATGTGACTTCGGTGGCACTTGCACTTCCATGAGATCCGAACCGCCTCGCCCCCCTCGTGAGGACCCAGTGAATTTAATAGGGACCAGATCGTGCGTGGCACGCGTAGACCAGCTGCTTCACGTTATTAGACAGTGCGTTCGCGCACACCGGTCGTAATGACATTGTCCTCCCCTCGGAACCGAGTGGGTGGGGGAGAACGGAGTGCGATAGATGTTGCGCATGTTTTTCTTATTATAAGCTAATTCACGTGCAAATGACCATCCAGTGTCCACTCTGTGGGACACATGGTGAACGTCGCCGTTCGCAACTGTTAAACTGTCATCGTAGGTCAGAGGTGATCTTTTAATAGAGGTGTTAAAATGGATTTTGAAGGAACTCCTTGACTTCAAATGCCAATATCTTTTTCAGACATCATGCCACAAATAACATTTCATTCTTTATGAAGGAAGATTGGACAACAGCAGTCGAGGAAAGTGAAGTATCTGTTGTTTATCTGCTGCAAACATATTTTGTTACGATCAGACCAATAAGTCTCTGACAAGGGTCAGCCTTCACCAAGAAAGTCTGCGAGATCTCATACGCCGCAGTCAGTTTGGCGAGTACCTTATCTCGCGTATGAAAGAAAATCAAAGCTCTCGGTCGGGGAGCTGGCGACTCACTTGCGACCGCGCTGGTTACAGTAAAGCTTTGCAGTTTCTGTCGCAGATTCGATGTTACAAAGTTTCTCACTATTGCGCCTAAGTCATGCAATTTTCATACAGGAAGTAAATCTGTAAATAAAACTGGTCCTCTAACTCCTTCCTTGCACCAACGATGGACATTTCCACCCGCTTTACCACTAAAAGTACTGCCCAACAGCGCGGTAGGGCACGAGAATACGGACCTACCGTACTACAGGTGGCTTCGCGCTAAATTCCAGAGGAGTTCCCATCCCGTGTCCTAGCTTTAATCCTGACCCTAACACTGACCATTCTAACTCTAGTCCTGGCCACCCCCACCCCCCAACCTCTAACCCTAATCGTAATTCCCCCGGAATTCAAGCTGAGGCCACCTGTACTACGTGGAGTCCATTTTCCCGTACTCAAACAATAACAGAATACTCAGTCTTCAGTTAAATCATGTCATCAGCAGAAGTTGCAGCTTTCTGAACTTTTACGCCGCGATGGGGTAGGCTACATCAACGATGTTTCTCTGCAGGAGTGAGCTCTGCAACTCAACGTATGCATTTGATGAGCTCTGGCAGTTTCATGAGAGGGTAAACTTGTCCTCAGTACCGCCGTGGCAGCGCCCGTGTTAGGCATGTTTGGGCAGTTAACCGCATCTCCACGCCAGCCTCACTCCCACAGACGTGCACACCACGCTTTCGTCATTTCGCGCGAGTTGTGGCCGTCACAGGCACTGATGGCTGGCGTCAGTGTTGGCTTGCGGTTGCTCGCTCGGGCGGATGCCGACATCCTGATTGGTCGAACCATGGCCACCCTCGCGCCGGGACGAAGAAAAGCAGCGTCGTGCCTCTAAAGCAGGGGATAGTGGACAGGCGGGCTGCTTGTGCGCTCTCCGACATGACTAGTCTTGCCTTCCCAATTCTGCCTCCTCGACTGTTGGTGGGGAAAACTAGTTGTTATCAGCCATCTTATCCCGACATGCACATAGAGCCAAAAATAATCACGCAAGTAATCAAAAGAGTCAGTATGAAAACCGCCTAACGCTTGTTACATGTAGGATTGCTTAAGTATTGTAAACGCCGGCAAATAAGCTGAGCAGGCACAAGGCGGAGCGTTCCACCTCGAAATAACGGCGAAGCTTGGCGTTATCGACCCGTGAGAGCCAGTGGCTCATGTCTGTAGATCATGTTAACGAATGGATCTCAAGAATTCTACGCTGTTCTCTAGCATTTACAATGACCAAATCACTCTTTCCATTCATCCAGATAGCACTCCACGCATAAAGACAGCCACCATCACCTTGGACGGTGGGGTATGTGGGCTGCGTCGTGAACAAATTCTTGGTTGGCCTTCAAACACGGAGTCTCCAATCGGTGCCATCTGTCCGAAAAAAGCGACTCCGAATGGGGGTCGCGCTATATGCATCATCTTATTGCCAACTTCAGTTTTGTCCTACTGCGAGCTTCTTTCAGATATTTAACGGGAATAGGCCCCGATGTAAGTGATCATGTTTACGTTGTTCTAATTAGCAATCCATCTTCCCCGGGAGTCTTTGTTTTGATGTTCCGACTTTCTCCAGATCGTAGGAAACTGCCATTGGCTAGATCGCAGTTGGTAGCCAGGCCCCGTATTACAGATGGCTGGGGGTTTGTTTACTGGGGCTATTTTGTGGGGCTCCATAATCACATCTGATCCATTTGGCTTCCGTTTTACGTTTGAGGCTAGGATTAGGGTACCGGTTAATGGCTTCCTATTTTCGGGTTAGGGTTATGCCTTTAGGCTTTGGTTTTCGAATTACGGTTAGGGTTTGAGCGTTCAAATAGGTTTCAGTATTACGGTTACGTTTACGATTTCGGTTAGGGTTGCCGTTAGGGTTAACGGTTAACGTTTAAGTTTGGGGTTAGAGTTAGGGTTAAGGTTGCCGTCCGCTTCCCCATTCCTGGCTACCAGCTGCCATCTAGCCCTGTAATTTGCCCGAACGGTCTTCTTCACGTTTAAACGATTCTTTTGTTAACTGAGATTGCTTTTCAAATCCAAAGTCTAGGTTTTCTCCCATGTCACAGATCAACGACCTCCCAGAACTGCGGCGTCTTATTAATGGCTGAGGGTTTTCTGTGTACAATGCTCGTTAAAAATGGAGACAACGTTCTGACTGAACGACTCAGCGCCCCTCACGCCATTTCTCACACCTACAAGGGTCTCTCGCAAACATGCCAGGTAAGTCGTGCCAAAAGTACACGACGGTCTACGGTGCACATAGGTTCATACAGTGGTCTGACGGTTCTCAATCACGATCAATGCTTGGCACTTCAGTTCTGCCTATGTTTTAAGCCCGCGTGGGTGGAGGGAGGATTTGCTGGTCTTCTGTGTATGCAAAGGCAGATAACTGATTTACTCTGGCTGGAGACAGGTGGTATCTGATTCTTGCGCTTTCTCGCAAGAGCGAATCATGTGATAAACCCTGCCAGTCGCAGCTTTTTATTCAAAAGACATTAATCTTCGTCACTCCTGTCAGAAATGGTAGGGTCTAGAGAACTGACATGTTAATGAGTGCGGTCAAGACTTCGTGTCATGCGTGAGGAAGATTTTGATTAGGAAAATTTCGTGCAACTCTTTCAACCAGCTATTTCTATGATGTGACATACCGAATAGTGAAATGAAAATTCGCCCAGGTATGTGAGAAAACCCTTCTAGTTTGAAAATGGCTGTTCTGATTCGAAATCGCCCACTGGATAACGAATTACTAAGAATGTGGATCTTCCTGATAACCAAAATTCGTGTTATTCCGTGGGCCAAGTGTTCAAATAGTTTTTGAATATTGCTTGAACGTTAGCCCGGTTATTGTTATGAAGGAAAATACGCCTTTTCAACTAGTTACGAAGCTACAGGAGGATTAAATGATATTTGTGTTAGATTGCAACGATTGTATCAAGATCAAGTCTATCGGACTGATTACGTAAATAGAATTACTGTAACATGGGAGGTAGACGAAAATATGTCCTCATGCCTCTCAGCAAGAGTTGGCCGTAAATTTGTGCTTTCATTCAGTAGTCAGGCAAGCTGTCCAAGGTATTCTGCACACATTGGCAGCAAGCCATTGCCCAGAAACACACGATAGTTCGACTGTCGTTGCCGACGATGTCCATCGGGTGCTCCACAGCATGGTAAGAGCAGTGACGGTGGCTTGTGCATGATTTAGTCTATAGCGATAGTAGATTTGCACAGCATCCACCGCACTCTCTCCTCCTCCCCCACCTGGACCCGGTGTCAAGACAGAGTCAAAAAGACAGGAAACGGGGGAGAACGCAGATGGATGGCACAGTCGAGCCCGCACCTTGGCGTTCCACTCCACACCCCCCTGGTCCCCCACAACAAGTGAAAAGATTTCTTAACCAACAGCAACTCTGGGGGGGGGAGGGGGGGTAGCAGGAGTCCCAGTGTGCGCGACGCCTGCAGGCAACAGGGTCTGCCACCGCACCTTGAAATTTTGGCATTCCTTATAGTGCACAAATCCGATAACGCCGGCCAGAGTCCGATATGGCCTCCATGTTGGTTCAACGCATCTACCACATGGCCCGTTTAGGGGGCACACGACAGTTCGACCATCGATTCCGATGATGTCCACCGAGTGCTACATAACAAGATGCAGCAGGAATGGTAAATTGCGCGTGAATTAGTTTTTAGCAACAGTAGACTTGCGCAGCATCTGCCGCACCCTCTCCTCTGCACTCCCCACTTGGACCCGGTGTAGAGATAGAGTACAGAGACCGGAGGCGGGGGGGAGCAGGTGGCTGGCATGACCGGACCCGCACCTAGGCGTGCTACCACGCACACACGTGTGGATGCTAAATACGGACTTGAGACACTGTCTATCCCACCCAGTCTTCTTCGGGCGAATATCCTCTGTCATTCTGTTTCGTCGAATTACTTTCGGGGAGTTGATCAGCTTGTGAAATAATAGACGTCAAACCAACTGCTGTTTGCAGCAGGTAAGATCTTATTTCGTAGCCGCACCTGTGAGGAGTTAGGGTTAGGGATCGAGGACTACACAATGGTCACTATTATATCTGAACTCACCAATTACATTCTTCTAGCACTCCACACAGCTCAGTTGCTTCTTATCCAGGCTTGAGATCCTAAACATGGCAATTAATGTGACAGCTGATAACATCGCGACAGCCCGGTTTTCCACGACATCACATGTGCAAATTACAACTATGTTGGATTTGTTAGTGTGGATTGTTTCTGTATATCCTAACGCACGAGCGTCTTATTAAAGGCTTTCTTCTCTCCACTGCAGACAAAAGTACAGGTAAGAACTGTATGTACTTCTCACTCATTCTTCGATTTTCACAGCATATTGAAGTTTTGTAATTTCCATTGAGGCCAACGTGAGTGGACACGACGTTCAATTTTTCAAGTTCAAGAGTTATTTTCTAGGGTCAATACTTTATTTACCAAAGTTTCTGAATTGGTGCAACAAAAGTCAGTACAAGTATTCAGAATTACGGACTACCGAGTTAGTTATACTGTTTATAATTTTGACTCCTAGTATTCTTAGTCTTTTTGTATCCCTGAGGCTGTACTCAATGACTGATCCGAATGCTCATGTGAACTAAGTATTTTTCCTAACGACTGATCTCTCAACCTTAAAAGAAATCTCTAGGATAGGTATTTCTCGGCAAGTTGACTGCACGCCTAGGTTCCCTCACCGTCTTTGTCACCATAAAACTGAACCCTGAACTGCCACCTAGCCGCAACTGAGTTGCGAGACAGATATCCAATGAGGGTGTAGTTACTTGGTGGAGTCCGAAATGAGGTTAGTTAGCTTGGACAACTGAATTGTCTTCTCCACCATGGAAGGGTATTAGCAGATTATGAATGCGGTCAGTTAAAGTTAAGTGGAATATCTCAGCAGGACTGTCCCTTTAGTTTAAGAGTCGTGTAAGCACCCGGTATTTACCAGTAGCAGTGGACCCGAAGAAAGTATGTCCGCTTCTGTCGGGACATTGAGTACACAGTCGTCCGCAAAGGGGCGTTTATAGACGGTGGTTGTTGAATCCTCGAGGGCAATTTCATTCGCCGGGTGTTGAAATGCTGGCCGTCGGTCCTGTAGGCGATGTGAATCGCGGGACGCTCATCACGGTAGGCGCCCAGAAGCACGATAGAGGACATGAGGCTGAAGAGGGTGGGAGCGAGTAAGCAGTCTTGCTTCACTCTATTGATCACTGAGAATGCCTCTGAGGCTCTCCCGTTGTCTGTGACAGGCGCCATCATGTGTCACGGAGCTGACTCACCATGTGCGTGAATCGCTCGGGGCAGCCGAATTCCTGCATGATTTCTCGGAGTCCATCGCCACTAGCCGTGTCGAAGTCTTTCACCAGGTCCGCGGAATTAAAGCAGAGATGGGTCCGGACTCCTGTCACTTCTCTTATATAAATGAAGAAACTCAGAACAATGAATAGACTGTTCCGGCGCTCGGTCAGCCTTCCTCTTCTTCACTTATACATGCACCCGGAACTCGAGCTTTTGCTTTCGCTTCTCTTATAGTTGGCGAACGATGAAGATCATATCGACAGTGCCGAGACTCCTTCGGAATCCGCACTGGCTTTCTGGGAGGAGACCTTATTCCAAATGGGTGTTCAGGCGATTGTGGAGGACGCGTGCGAAGACTATCCCTGAAATGCTGGGGAAGGAAATGTTTCGGTGGTTAGTGCGTAGCTACTGGTTTACTTTCCGCTTGTTGGATGGGCGACTGTCGCGTCCTTCAAGTCCTGGGGAACTTGTCCTTGGCGCCACATCTCCTGGAAATCACTGTAAGGTTCTCTATCAGCAGAGGGCCACAATGCTTGTAGACTTCAGCCGGGATCGCTCCGGATCCCCGTGCCTCCCTGCCACACATCTGGTTTACGGTTTCCATTATCTTCGGGGGGGAAGATGGAAGGTCCAGTTCGTTGTTCATGTCCACCTGCGAGGACCGATCGAGAACGGCGTCGGAGATTGCGGGCGGGGTGGCGAAGACAGGTCTAAAGCGTTAGGGCCAACGCTTCAAATCCTATGATTGCTCCGCGAAAGGTGTTGTTACATAGGACAAATTCGACAGAAGAGTATTTAACTTACCTGATGCTCATTTAACATGTGGTATATTGAGAATTTTCGGTTGAGGGCTCATTTTGGATATGACTAGGAGATGATCCGTTCAGGCGTCGGCGTCGCTGATCGTCTTTGTCGCCAGTACGCCCTGTCTTTCTCGCCTCTGGACAAAATCATGGTCCAACAGTTGCCAGCGTCTATATCGGGATGTAACCAGGTTGCGTTCCCCTGCGTCGGGAAGTGGGAGAAGGTACTGGTCAGGAGCATGCGGTGTCTTGCGTAGGTTCGCAGAAAGAGGCCGTTATCGTTGCAGCCACCGAGACCATGGGGACTACCCCCGCAGGCAGCGTGGTCTGTCCCGATAGAGGCGCTGAAGTCACCAAGGACAACTAGCTTGTCCGCCTTCGGCACAGTTGCCTGAAGAACATGCAGGTCTCCGTAGAACTTCTTCCTCGCCTCGTCTGAGCTAGTCATTGAAGGGGAACGTAGGCGTTGATAATGTTGGCGAATTTGGCTCCCGGGAGAGGCAGGCGCAGGGCCACCAACCGATCTCTGATGCTGTGCGGCAGACGCCAGCGTAGCGTCGATCTGCACTTGGGCGGCTGCTCTAGAAGAAGGTCTAGCGGACACCCGTAGACTCAACTTGACCCGGTTTAGAGAGTCGAAGCTGGCTGGGATCAGTGATATCCACCTTGTAGCGAGTCAGTTCTCGAGCGAAGAGTACCGTCCTCCCATTCGACCAGATCCTCCACGGACTGTCTAAAATAGAACAAATATCACAGACTACCAAAGTGGACAGAGTCACCCCAGCAGCCTGTGAGGTGGAGTGGCGGGAATGGGGACAAGGGTTGTTTTTGTTCATTGTGGCGTTTCGATCGCAAATCTCGGATCTACGAGCCGTGCTATATTTGAAGATGGCGTGATTTCCCAACATCTGTATAGGGCACCTTTTCTAACTCCTTCCACCGCGAGGGGGTAAGCAGTGCTATCCCAAATTGAGCTGCTTAGATGGCTGCGAATTCCACTTAAGGAGAACGACCCCATTTAGCTTGGGCCACCTACACGATTACATATCGCCCTCTCCGTAGGACTTCTGAAATGGAAAGAAGGAGGAGGAGAAGGAATGGAAAGTGGAGCAGGACTACCGGTTGTGTGGATACGTACAGCTCTGGATATCCTCGTCTGGCTCGGTCCGCCGGTCGAGGCGGCTCCCAAGATGTGGCCACTGGACAAAGTCTAGCTTCAGCGAGTCCCCATGAGAACTGGGTGCCAGTTAGTGTCTGTGAAGTGCAGTCACCACTTGCATGATCCGATCTAGCACACCTACACGGTTTGCCCCTAACCAGACATCCCTATACGCCTTATCGCTGGACACCCTCTCCCATACATGTAAGGCAGAACTTAACGACTAATCGCTTCGTAGGTCTTGCCGAACTCCGACTCTCAGTTATTGAATATGTTTTTACGACAAAGTCCACGAACTCGGCATACTTTCTATTTCTTCAAGCATCTCCGACATTTACTGATAACGTTGAGGATGGGGACTGTGACAGACACCAACTGGCGAACCTATTGATAGCATGCGGAAAAGACTTTCTGGGGTCATCTTAACAAGTACTGGCTTTTTGACGGGAAAACAATTGTTTTTTAAGGCAGCCAACGGATCTTTAAGCTTAATTTTTGATCCTTTTTCTAGGAGGATAGGGAGCTTCTGTCGTGCTTTGAATAAAAATTACCATTGACCCACTAAGCAAGTCCAGCTAAGGAGATATGTGATTGGGCTTTGCAAGTTGATAAGTATTTATGTCAGTGACAAGAAACAATGTATTGACCGTTTCCGAATTATTTGCCAGCCGCTGCTGTACCACTCCCCGGTGCCGCGCACCCGAGGTTTAAATCAACAGGTCTTGCCGTTTGAGCTAGCGAGCTAACGCTCCCACAGCTGAAATCTGGAATATGGAAGGTTTTATGAGAGTGACGTTCACCAATTTATCTTAATTTTAGGACGACTGTAGGCGTTTCGGTGTTGACCTGGCATTCCGAGTCTAGAGCCACAGGCGATGGCGGAAGGACGTGTTGTCGACGAAGAGGAGGACACTCAAAAAACCGTTTCTGGTTTACTAGATGGCATTAACCACTGGTGTCCTAGCATCAGATACTGGCGCTCTCGAGGTCTAACCCGAGTAAGGCTCTCACTGCTACACTACGGCCTCATGTTCTGTCGACTGAGATCGGGAATATTCAGTCGTATAGGATTGGTGTGCATTGATTCACCCTGATTGCAGGAAAGAATACGTGCGATTCTGCTTGGACTTGGTGGTGAAGTCTACATCTCGGACAAGCTGTCGCATGACGAAGAGCAATCAGTACATCAAATGTGTTGCCAACACGTGCAATGCACATCTCAACGACCAGTTCTGACTTATTTGGCGTCATAAACTTGGAGATCTGCAGGAACCGGTGTTACCTCTGATATCTAACAGAACCTTTAGTTGCGCAGAGTTCAAAACTCTCTGGTCTCTCTCTCCTTGATAATAGCAGAAAGCTTTGCGGTCCATAAATTCCGCGTTCCACGTTGTTAGGGCATTCTCCCTGCCAACAGTTGCATCATTGCCAGTCATAAGTAAGCCTCTGCTGCACGATGAACGTCGTCGGTCGTGCGCACTTCCATATCGATTGTTGGCTCGCGCTAGCGTGCGCAAGTCACGGCGCAGGCAGTAAAATCACGGCAAACGTCATTCCGGAGCACAGCCTATGGCAGCACGGAGAGCAGATTGTTATTTGCATAGCGTAGACCTACAAGTTTGCGCCTCTGTCGACAGCATCAAGATCACGAACCACGTGTCGCTAGGAATGATGAAATGGGTCAGGACCTCGGAAAACATCTTTGCCAAAGGAGGCTTTCTAAGTGCATCAGACTGGACTTAGTGCAGGCAGACTGCCTTACGGATCACGCGAAGTATCCCAGTGCATGAAAACTAGTTTCATTAGTCCAAAATGAAATGACTTGTATAACCTTTGTCTTCAGGCAGAACTTTTCATGTAAAACATTCCAAAATTTGGTTTTTGGAAATCACAAGACCCGAAAACACTTCTGTGTGAAAATTGCATAAAAATGATTAAGTACCTGTTCTAACCATGTCCTCACTTCGAAGCAGATAGAAGCTTGATACTCCGCTAGTTAGACTTATGCATCTGTGCTATGAAAACTCCCAGGTTTCTCGTAAGGATGAGGAATGTCAGACTGTCACCGAAGGGGCCTTGCTGAGCATGAAGATGCCATTTGATTATCATCTCTGATCCGACGCGAATATATTAGGCTAGGGACTAAATGTCGACTGTTTTGATATCAGAGATATGTTCCAAACCGGTTTAAGTACGATGTGATACAGAACCCGTCAAGTTCGTTAGCAATAGGCTCATTTTTAACGTATTGTCTGATTAGGATCAGTGGAGTTTTGGGTGTTTACTTCTGAACTCTTCGAGCATATGTTGCAAAATGTAACTTTTGTCGAAGTTAGTTAGTAAAGATTTAGAGGTTGACCTCTTCTCTGCCAAAAGGGCAACTCCCAAAACTTCATGGTGTATCTGAGTAATTTCATAACAACAACCTGACGGAACTGTCACGACTAACGATCCTACCTTCCTAATATTTTACATTGTGTCATCTCGATTTCAAAATGGAACAAGCACATCACTTCAAGAAGCGGCAGCGCATTCCACTTCGGAAATAAAATGCACAATTGTCTAAAACCTGCAATCTTACACACAAATTATGTCAACAGGTGATGGCACTGAGCTCCAGTCGGCAGTTATTGCAGTTATTCGAAAATGGTCCGGCCCTCTTCTCATGCATCTTCTATTCTCTCCGTTGCGATTGAGTCGGTTTTCAAAGTCCAATCACTTTTGTTCATCAGGAACAGATGAGAGCCCTATTAGATCTCGCTGATAATTAATTCCCTATTGGAGTCCATTTCTTCGAGCTTTTCAAGATGGGGTCTCATGATGCATCCGGTTTCTAGTGGTTTTATTCTGGGGTGTTTACTCAACTCAACTGTGATTCCACTTGAATAAGCGCAAACTAGGCCTTTCTCGAAAAATATAGAGGCAGGCTTCTTAAACAACAGTATACAAATAGCACACATGAATAGTTGATTAGGTGAGAACGAAAACATTTGGAATAGTTCTTAATTTCAACAATGGTAAAGACTTCACTCAAACTTGGAAAAAGCCTCACCCTGCCTATCTGTTGGAAATATTCTGATTGGAAAAAGCACAGCCTATGTCGCGTTACTCTGTTGCGAAGTATGAGGTGACTGAAAGTAGTTACGATTTAGCAGACATGACATATTTATCGATTCAGAGGGTTCGGGGGACTGCGCAGATAAGGGGAACAGTAGGGACCAGTGAGAAGGGGAGACCCGCGCTTCCGACAGACATGGGACAGAAAACCTGGACACTTGAGAGTGAGTGAGAGAGAGAGAGAGAGAGAGAATTGCGTCATATTTAACTATACAATCTTTCGTTCAGTTCATTATCGCCTCGCCCAGTAGCACTTTGTGAGGTCTATTCATTTGTTCGTGAAGACGTTAACCATGAGGATTACAAGACGCTCCTGAAAGAAAAGGTTTCGTCACTGGCCAGGAACACGCTGAGTCACATCGTCTTGGGTGAGAAAGTGCCCCCAGAACTTTTTCTCGATGGGACGCTGGCAAAACTTGGCTCTCAATCCTCGCTCGTTTCTCCTGCTCCCCTTCTAGCAGCTGCAACGTCAAACATCAATGTTGTTTTAACTGACTTTCCATTCGTAGTGGCGATCTGCTTATAGGCCACAGATTCTAGACCATTCCCAAGTGCATATGTGGCTTTCGAAGCAGTGAACTCGCTGAAATAGGTAGCGCAACGGGTCGCTTGATAATGGAGACTTTTATAGAAGCCGCTAAAAAGAGCTGAACCGTAAAATAGTGAATAGCTGACTCATGTCGCACCATCTACCATACTAACAGCACAGGCACTAGATAGAAGCCCAGTCACAAGTTTTGCGATATCCTGTCGCCGCATGACAGAAATTCGGTTTATCCATGAGTTCTCCGGAGTTGCCCCGCTACTTTCCGGTAGATATCCCAGTTTGTCAAACCTCCTCAGAAATTAATGGGTTAACTTGGACTAAATCATTCGGAATGAAGCTTTATCGGTTGGGATCGAAATCCACCAGCTTCAGTGAGGCAACTGCATAATTTTTGGTCAGCTGCCCTTAGGCAGTTGGTGTAAGTAGTAATCTTAGTCGGCATGTTCATTTCGGTTAGTCGTCAAGTTAGGCGAATCTCTAGCTCACTCTATGCTCCTTCAGAGAGCAGTTGATTTAAATTTGCCTAAATGCTGTTTTCCCCCGTACCACAGCGGGACAAGAGAGCGGAGTGCTTGACCGGCGGACCGTGAAGAAATCTTACGGCCACACTACACTCACAGTCGCC